AAGTTGAGTGACATTGTAAATTTCAGCTTCAATTTAGGTGAAAAAAATACAAGAATCCAAAATTGTGGAAAACATTTTAAGGTCCTTGCTCAATTGGTTCCAACCAAAAGTTATGGTTATTGAGGAGGCTCAAAATTATGAAAGCCTCACGCTGGATCATTTGATTGGAAATCTCCAAACCTATGAGGTACACATGAATTTCAAAAAGAAACAAAAAGATGATATTGCTTTTAATAGTGCTCATAGAGTTGGAAAGGATTCCAATGAAGATTGTGAGTTTGATTCCAAGATTACGGATGCTTTTGTAAAACAATTTAAAAAGTTTTTTTTTTTTTTTTTGAAAAAGATGCCTAATCTTTTGGAATCAACTCATAAATCTAAAGACAAAGATAAGCTCAAAATTGATTCTATAACCAAGAAGAAGATAGGAAAATACATGGGAACTTTTAAAGAGTCCAATGCTATGAATGCCAAGGTTTTGACTACTTTGCTCAAGAATGCCCTAATCGTTTGAGGAAGAAGAAAGTTTTCCCTATCACTTTGGATGATAAATCAGAGTCTTATAAGAATGAAAGTGACAACGAGGCTCAAGGTGAAAAGGGGCATGAATAATTTCTTTTTTTCATGGCAGTTTCCGAAGCTGAAGAACAAATGGAGTATCCCAAGAGGCCAGTTGAAAATGTCACTGATGATGAATCTTCCGGGAGGGATGATAAAGTAGATGGTGAAAAGCTTCAACAAGCTTATGAAAATTTGTATAAGGAATCTCTTAACTTATCCAAATTGAATGACAAATTCACTATGAAACTCAAAGCTTGTGAAAGTGAGAATGTCAAACTAAAGGAGGAGATTTCCGAGCATTGGAATGATGCCATCAAGATTTCTAATGATCGACAAGCTCTGTGTGCAAAACTCTTGACTTGTGAGGCAAAGATAAATGAGCTACAGCAAATCTATGCAACATATGAAGAAAATATTGAAACCCTCGAGATGTCTCAAGTTGCCTTGGAAGAGCTAGTTGTCAAGAAAGAGGAAGAGCTCAAGTGTGATATGGCTACCATTGGTCTTTGGAACAAAAGATCAAAAACCTTAGACAATATCATTGGATCTCAACAAATGTGTAGAGTGGCATCGGCTTTTGTGGTGACAAAGAGCAAAAATGGAGTGCATCTACATCTTATGATACAAGAACTCAAAAAAAGGAAGAGCAAACGATTCAACATGAGGATGAACTTCTCAATCTTTCTAGAATTGGTACGGTCAAAGAAAATAAGGTACACATTATTTTTATTTGTCATCATTGTGGTATGTATGGTCATATTCGCCTTTATTATTATGAGTTATATGGGAGAGTGTCTTATAGAGGTGGGAGACATTCTAATATCTCGTGGGGCAGGAGATATTTCATTGGTCGTAATGAGGTTAAGGATCATATTCGACCTCATTGTGTTGATTTGCTTGAGACCAAACATGAAGAGAGATTGTGTTTGCCTAGACCTAGGAATATGAGGTTGGAAACCAAGTCGAGACGGGCTCCTATTGAGCGGGAAAGGAACCACAATGTCAAGATACTACCCAAAAATCACAATTCTCACAACTTTGTTCAGACTAAAGCGGTTTGGGTGAAAAAGCTTGACTTATATTAATTTGTTTTTTTTTTGTTTTTTTTTTTTTTGTTTTCTCTTTTTGTTTTGAGTTTTTGTATATTTGTTTTTGGGTCTTTTGTGTGTATTTGTTCATTTCCAGAAGTTAGTTGAAATGAAATTAATTACCATACTTAACAAGAATGGAATATTTCCCACATAAGAAGAATTACTACTTGCAATCGCCGTATAGAACCGAACCTTCTTCCTACTTTGGATGATTGAGAAGAGTCGAAGTGCCAAAGTGATCAAAATTGGCAGTGAAATATATTTAAACTTAGCATTTATTTATTCATAAATTTATGTATTTTGGTTTCAAGCATTCTAGAACTTAAACAATCTACAACAACCAGAGATGGATTTCGGTTTGCTAAAATAAAAGTCATAACACATCTACTCATCCAGACTTTCCTTCAGCTAATGTCCAACTCCACCACGTGTTCACTGGTCTAATTTTTATTAGATTAACACTCAGATGTCAGAACGAATCATCTGAGATGTCGTGCAAGCGGAGGTGGAACCACCCCAAAGAAAAAATAAAATACAGTCAGTACTTTTTATTGGTATGAGAATAGAACTTTGGGTGCAATGCAAAAATATTACTTTCTGGAAGACTACAGCCTTGATTACATGCATGTATATAAACTCATATTTACTTCATTGACCTCAAAGTTTCATACCTCATTAATAAAAATATTATAACAGGACCAATGAAAATGTTAACCTTTATATTTATATAACACAACAAACCTGTAAAGGAACACATACTACAATTTAATCAAAAATATTTTCCCCTTTTTTTGGTAGCAATCAATGTTAAAGTTGACATTAATAATAGTTATTAGTTTATATATCATGCACAGTTACTTCAATTTTCGATATTATTTGTGATTTATATTTTTTGGGAAGCTTTGATAGGAAAAATGATTTTAACAATTTTGTTTAGCACCCCTTCCCACTCCCCCCAAAAGAAAAAAAACCCTTGTTCTGCTCCTGACTGAAACCAAGTTGCCAAAGGACATGTAAGGTAATCTTCCAGTCTGAGAGTTAGATTCCACCCCTTACAATAAAATAAAATAAAACAAAAATAGAGCCTAGCAGTATTTAGGTATCTCCAATTTGATCAACTATTTGCATGTAAAACAATGTGAGAGGATATTTCAGATGGCAGATTTCACCAACTAAAGAACTTTTATAGCAGGGGTAAACACAGAAAACTTTAAATTACTAAAAATCTTATTCTTAAATATGCAGAGTTAAGAAGAACCCTTTGATTAAAAACTAAAATAAATAAAGGCACTATTTTCTCAATTTAGTATCTTGTGCACCTGATCATCATATCTTCTTTGCATAACAGCATTTCTCCGCAATGTTTCCCATGATATCATTCGCTCAGCAAAGTATACACGTAGCTGAAGCAACACCGAAAAAAGGACACAAAAAATCAACTCTATTTCATCACTATAATTGCAAAGAGTAAATATTATCAAGGTGTAGTGGGAATGAAGCTAAAAAATGACCCATATCTTTAAACCATTAGAGTGCCAGAGCGTTCTATAAATTTGGTTGATTTAGTCATTGAAACTAATGATACCATGCTAAGAAGCGCAGACACGAGACACAACATGAACACAATAACATAACAATTTTCAAAAAATGTAGGACACCATACATGGGGGACCCACACAAAATATATAAGTTTATTATTTATTTATTTATTACATGTCATATATACAAATATTTCATTCAAAGACGATTTAAAAAAATGCAACCAAACATTATTCCTAAAATATAAAGGAGAAGAGATTAATGTATATCTACATTGTTTTTCTTTTATAATTGGATCCCAAGTCATGTGTCTAACTCCCACATGTATCTCCCAACCGTTTCTGGGTATAAAAAAAATTAAAGTCACAATGGACGTGTCCAACACGTGTCAAGATGTGTCCAAAACGGACACAACACCTTCTTAGAAGAGTTTGTGCTTCCTAGGAACCATGTGTATTCTGATTGCCCATGCCACTCCACTTATCAGCAATTCAACATCATCACATCCACATTGCCTTGGCATATATGGTACCTGATTGCCAACACCACTCCACTTATCAGCAATTCAGTATCCTCGCATCCCCTTATGGCATTGGCATGGCGTGGTGGGTATAAAACTTTTGAATGCTAAGCGATGCACATGGATATTTGTTTGGTTTTTTTAGGCTACTAGGATGCCTCCACTTGTTGCACCAAACTACAGAAGAGTGCCACCAGAGAGAGTTCACAGTGCTGAGCCACTCTGCCCTTGACCAACTTTATACTAACCTGTTAGTTCTGCTAAAACTCATGACAATAATTTGTACATGCACTACAGGAAATGTAGGTTTCAATGGCGTTTATTTAATGGCGTTTTTTGAACGTCACTTTTTTATAATATTTAACGGCGTTGTGTAAACGTCACCTTTTTTTAAATGAAAACGACACCGTTTTAATGATAGGAGGCGTTGAAAAGCGCCTTCAAATCTCTAAACACTATCTCCCTAAATGGGCCAGCCGCTGACTCACTCTTCTACACCCTCTTCCTAATCTCTCACTCACTCAACCCTCTCCTGATCTGGACGACTCGCTCTCTCTCTCTCTATCTCAAATACTTCCAATAGCAGTGATTCATCTCAGAATATCAATCGATCGATATCTCAAGGGATCGCTCTCTCTCAAGCTCTCTCTCAACGGATCGATCGATCGAATCCCGGTGATTCATCTCAGAATGACATCTCGGCGATTTTGATTTTGATTTCAAAGTGCTCTCTCTCTCTCGATTTCGAAGGTCTCTCTCTCAATTGCGAAGGTCTATCTGTTGATTTGGTTGTTGATTTTCGTTTGTGTAGATCAAGGCTATATGTACCAATTAATGTACTAACTAATGTACCAAATGATGATATGACATAATTTAAGAAGTTTTTGAGATTTGTAGTGTGATTAATGAGTGAAATTAATAATAATGTTATAACTAGTGTTGATACATTAGTTAGTACACTAATTTATGCATTTAGCGTCACCAAAATTAATATGTAAAATTTTTGGGGAATTAACCTTGGTATTATGCGGGGTACTTAGAGATAAAAATTGTATCTTTTCCCCATATTTCATATAGCAATAAATACATATTAATTAAATATATTATTGTAATTAATAAGGGCAATTATCTAAGTGGAATTTTTAAAAACAATCATATATTTATGAAAAAAATTAAAATTTTAATTATTAATATATAGATCCATCCTCAAGCTGTAGACAAGCAATTCTATTTCGTTGTTTCCGCCATGTTACCATCCTATGAAAAAATTTATAATTTCGATCTCCATTAGCAAGCCATTGCTGCTTCGACCTCTGGGCCCAATATAATTCTTGTTTATTCAGCAAATCATCCAACTTACCCCTTAATTCCCAATCATATTTGACATCACCTTTCTTGAAGGAGAAAAGCAATCTCTTCACCAAGACTAAGGTAATTATGGACTCTTTCAGTTGATGTCAGTGTAATTTAGTGTAAATTTAGTAACTTCAACCTTTCATTACATCTTAGCAGAGTGAAAATTGCTTAATAAATCCAATTAAATTTATGTGTGTGTTATAAAAGCAAGGACCATTGATCTCCATTGAGTATGAAATATCATCTAATTGGTTGGTAACTATGTCAAGTTGCAGAATAGAATTAGCTTCATTAATTTATTTGTCTATTTTCTTCATGGTTGAGTTAATGAAATTTATGTGTGTGTTTTAAAAGCAAGAATGTAAACCTGTATATTTTGACCCTTCAACTATGAAAATGTATTACTTTCACCCCCCTCTAGACCACCTTCAAAATGGGTGTACTTGTACGATTTAATAGTTGAGGGGTCAATATGAGCGGGTTCATAGATGAGAGTAAAGTGATATTCACTAATAGTTTGAGGGGGTCTTGGGGTAATTGACTTATTTTGTTTCAAATGCTTGATTTTCATGTGCTTCTCTAGCCATGAGGTGTATGTGCTGGTTATGTAGTACATACAACTACATTTTGTTTCTTTATGCATCAAAACCATCAAGCTTTCTTACCCTTAACTCCTTGATATTAGTTCCTTTGCAGAGTGGCTGATGTTCTCTCTGATTATCTTGGAGGGATGAATGAAGATTTGATCAAGGATAACTTTGTTATTGTATATGAGGTATTTATACAAAATCTTGTTTTAGTGCTGATCGTATTTTTAAGGAAATGGTTGTAACAATTCTCAGTATAACTATCTTCCTAGAACTAGTGTTTTGGTTCAAGGAGCTGTTATAGGTTTTGTGTACATATGTCACAGGGATCTTCTATGATTTAGGATATTGAAATCAGGGTTATGTACTAGTCATGAATATTATCTTTTATATACACACATTTAGTGATCAATAACTGGATTGTTTACTCTAGTAGTTGATTAAATGGTATCTTTGATATTGGGTTTTTTTTTTTTAATAAGATGACAATTTTATGCATTATAGAGGGGCTCAAGTCCAACCTTTAAATGATTAGGACTGTTTCTATATGTGTGGATGCATGTGTACGTGCATGTTGTTTGTCTTGGCTACATCATACATATTTTGCAATTGAACGTGGCTACAATTCTTTCTTTTTAATGATTGATATCTGGTGTTTATTTTTTTTGAAAAATTATTGATCTCTTGCCTACTCTTGTGCACTAATATTCATGTAAGCTTTATGTGGTACTTTAAATGATTCTTCTAATATTAGATTGCTTATCCTATTTGTTCTACCATAAAAGGATATTCTAAACTTGTGACCATCTTTCTTGAAGAGCCTCACCGTCCTTCCCCCATTTCCTTACTTCAGCTTTCTTCTCTTTACCTTCTCCCAAGGTTGGTCAGTTTTGTTATAACTCAAAGTGACATTTATATTTTTTGGCTTGCTGCAACTTGCAGCTTTTGGATGAGATGATAGATAATGGATTCCCTCTCACAACAGAGCCTAACATCCTGAGGGAGATGATACCTCCTCCAAATATTGTTAGCAAAGTGTTGAGTGTTGTGACTGGCAACAGTTCCAATGTGAGCAACACCCTTCTAGGTACAACAACTTGTGTTCCATGGAGGACAATGGCCCTAAAACATTCAAATAATGAAGTTTATGTTGATCTTGTTGAAGAAATGGATGCAATAATAAACAGGTCTGTAGTTAAAGATTTCCTGTATCTATTTTCGTTAGATACTCTCTTGGTAATTTCAGTTTTCTTCTGTTCTTTCAATGTTGGTAATTTGAAATTTGCTGAGTTCTTAGAATGTGTTCTGGGGTTACATGCCACTGATATCTTATTATGAAATTTGACACCGCAAGCTAGGAAACTTTTAAAGAACAAATTTATGATTTTGTAATATCAGCTTTAAGGACACTGTAAGCAGAAATATCAGCTTTAAGGGCATTTCCTGACCAGCCTTTCTTGAGAAAAGCAAATAATCCAACTTCTTAGGAATTGATTTTTGAGAAAGTAATTCTTTGTCCAAGGGAGTGGCCATCAATTTTGGGCTTCCGAATAATCATAGGTGGATTTGCTCATCTACATATTGTCTCTAAACTTATGTGGAATAAAAACGCCGCAAACTTGTTATGTTTTATATTGATTGTGTCCAAGAAATGAGACTTTAATAAATAAATAAATATATGAAGTGAATAAAAGCTTTTCTATCTGACTAGTAACCACTGCTAGAATGGCAGCTCCATGAACCTTGCCATGCTCCCTTTGAATCTTTTAGAGGAATTTCAAGATCAGAGTTGACTTGAAAAGCTGTCTTGTTTCTGATTACTTGGAAGCTAACTTAGATATCATGGACCATTTAATATCTGGGTTATTTAGCAACTCCTGTGTATGTCTACGTTTTTTATTGCATGTAAATTCATTACCTACTTTAATGTTTGTTTAGGTACGAGGATCCAGGCATTGCTTTACATTATGGTGGAATGTTGAGGTAGTGTGTACATCATCAAAGTGTAGCAAGGTAAGCAATTTAAAAGCGTACATTGGTAATTGATTTTTTCTTTCTCTTCTTTTTTTTCCTTTTCCCCTATTTTTCCTTTTGTTTTTTTTCTTCTCCCCTTGTCCTTATAATCAGTCTTTTACTTAAACTATTTTGTTCTATCTTTTTGACATATCATTGTTAATTTGGTTGTATTGGCGACTCTCTTTTAGGAGAACACCAATGTGCTTTATTTTTGGTCCATAGACTCGAGTAAGTTTAAGGTTGTTATCTTTCTTACTAAATTGGCACTATAGGTTACAAATGAACCGAGTTGTTCATGAATAGCTTGGTTGGGCATGTCTGCTAAATGAACAAGCTTAAACCAAAGTTTTTGGCTTTTTAGTAATTGAGCTGGCCTCAAGTAAACCTAAGCTTAGCTCGAAGAACACAATCATATATTAATTAACATTTATTTTTATTGATATATCAAATATATTTTAATTATTTTATTTTATTTTTATCTATTATGTTTGGTGTTTTTGCAAATTTACATATTTGATTGATCAAATTTATTAATAATTAATGTGCATATAATTTAGTTTTTCTTTTTTCTTTTCATGCCTGAGCTTGGCTTATTTATGTTATTGAGTTGACTCAAGTCGAGCTCAAGTTTCTCAAAGGTTGAGCATCCCAAAGCTTGGCTTGGCTCGGCTTGTTTGCAGCCCTAATTGTCAATATATCCATTGCTGTGTATTACTCATTTGTATATATTTCAGGCTTCTCCTCAGCAAGCTAGCCTCTGTCCATTTGGAGGGTCTTACACATCAGCAGAAGCTTGCATTTTGGATAAACATTTACAATTCCTGCACGAGGAATGTAAGAGAAAGGCCTATCTATCACAAATGACTCAATAAGTTTTGAAGTGACTGATAATATTAAGCTTAAGACATTTATAGATTTATTTATTTAACTTTTGGACATTTTTTTGCTTACATTATCAATATTTCAGGCATTTCTAGAGCAGGGCATACTCGAAACTCCTGAAATGGTCGTAGCACTGATGCAAAACGTGAGATCTTCTCATCATTCTCATCATTTTCATTCCTTTCCTCTCATTTTTTGAACAAATAACCTTTCATCCGTTTGTTTATCAACCAATAATGGATACATAATGTCAATCAAGTGTTATGGATCAGCTCGAACTGTCAAGAACTCAATCAGACTTGGAAGTTCAAAATTTTAAGCTGCTAATTCAGTGCAAGTGTCTTCTGTTTCAGACTAATACCGTTAATCATAACCTTTTAAGTTTCACAACCGGCATAACTACAACTATGCTGCGCTCAGGCAACGATAACTGTGGGGGGACACTTGCTAAATGCAATTATGACTGAGCATTTTGTCTTGAGGTTGCCTTACCACTTGAAATATGTAAGTGGCATTCTTCTCACATTTTTCTGTATTTACTTGTTTCTGTTTATATACTCAGAAGCGGGTAAAATCCTTATAAAAGATTTGTTCTTAATCGGGGAAAATTGTTAACTTGCTAGCCCTTGGTTACATTTGCACTTTCCTTGATTTCAATAGACTTGTCTGAAAGTTTCAAGAAATGAGGAAATGAAAGCATGCAGCATTTATTCACCCAAAAAAGAAAGCATGCAGTATATTCGGATTGGAGTGGTCTGAACCCTTGATTACATTCGCACTTTCCTGTGGAAGTTCGTCCTCCCCAGCTGTAAGTTTGTCACACATTTAGGATAAGTTTGATGATTAAAAAAGTCAATTTTGTTAACTGTTCAACAAAATTTTCATGACTAGATTCAACAGTAAAATTCCCTCCATTTCTATATGATAGACTTATTTATTTTGAAGATTTATTTAATTATGTTTTAATTTATTTGAAGGAGAAAAATAGAATTCAAAATTTATTTTGATGATTTATTTAATTATATTTTAATCAAAATTTATTTTGATGATTTATTTAATTATATTTTAATCAAAATTTATTTTGATGATTTATTTAATTATATTTTAATCAAAATTTATTTTGATGATTTATTTAATTATATTTTAATCAAAATTTATTTTGATGATTTATTTAATTATATTTTAATCAAAATTTATTTTGATGATTTATTTAATTATATTTTAATCAAAATTTATTTTGATGATTTATTTAATTATATTTTAATCAAAATTTATTTTGATGATTTATTTAATTATATTTTAATCAAAATTTATTTTGATGATTTATTTAATTATATTTTAATCAAAATTTATTTTGATGATTTATTTAATTATATTTTAATCAAAATTTATTTTGATGATTTATTTAATTATATTTTAATCAAAATTTATTTTGATGATTTATTTAATTATATTTTAATCAAAATTTATTTTGATGATTTATTTAATTATATTTTAATCAAAATTTATTTTGATGATTTATTTAATTATATTTTAATCAAAATTTATTTTGATGATTTATTTAATTATATTTTAATCAAAATTTATTTTGATGATTTATTTAATTATATTTTAATCAAAATTTATTTTGATGATTTATTTAATTATATTTTAATCAAAATTTATTTTGATGATTTATTTAATTATATTTTAATCAAAATTTATTTTGATGATTTATTTAATTATATTTTAATCAAAATTTATTTTGATGATTTATTTAATTATATTTTAATCAAAATTTATTTTGATGATTTATTTAATTATATTTTAATCAAAATTTATTTTGATGATTTATTTAATTATATTTTAATCAAAATTTATTTTGATGATTTATTTGAAAGAGAATTAAATTCAAAATTTATTTTGATGAGACATCATTCATTAAAACCCTTTACTCCGTTATTATTCACTAGGCTTTATTAACCGTAAACGAAATGTATCACTACAGTACTATTACTCACAGTGTTGTGGCGGAGTGATAGTTCCTTCTGGGATAGAACCTACACGCACATGCAATTCAAACATTAGTCCAATTCCTCTTTAATCAATATTCGATTCGTTTAACTTCCATTCAATTTCCGAACATTTTAAAAGCTTCAAATACACATTTTAACTATCCCAGAGGGTTAAACAGGAGAAAAGAAGAATACAAAATTTTTCCACATGGGCCGCACGTGCGGAGGCCCTTCGCCACACGTGCAGGAAGATGGGCCGCACGTACGCCCTGCACGTGCTTTTATTCCAGTAGCCAAACTTCGGATTCCTCTGTTTCCCACACGTGCGGCTGTGAGCCCCGCACGTGCGACTATGAGCCCCACACGTGTGGTCGCAGCCCCTGTTTTGGGCAGTCCGAATTTAGGCAAAATTTCAGTAGAACCAACACTTTACCAAGAGCAAAACAAGGAGAATTAATTCAATAGATTACATAACATCTTCATAACATGAATCACAACTTATCAGATTACAATAAACACGATTACAAGCTTAATTAGATCATAATCCTTTCCGCATTCACCCATACAAACCATGCCCTTTTCTGATTATGGCTATATTTGATACATGAGCAATATACATGTATGAGCATGTGAGTTCAACATGAAAATCAAAGAATAAAATGTAATTCCTTTATATAATTCAAATTAATTCCCAAAACAACCAAATGATAAGAACAACCCTCCAATTAAGCACGTAACCATACACATGTCTTTAATTACAAACCCTAGCTCTCACAAAGGAAAGGGAATTCTTACATAAGTCCAAGAAAGAGGTCATTTAAGGTGGATTATGCATACCTTGAGCCTTAATCTCTACAATCCTTCTCAATTTCCCAACCTGCCTCCTTGTTGATCTTCTTCCCTCCTAGTTCTTTCTCTCAACTTCTCTACACTCTCTCATGAGATATTTTTGACTTATAAGATAGACTTACTAAGTTAAAGTTTGAAGGAGATAAATAAGAGTTGACTTAAAAAAAAAACAAAAATTAATCAGTTCAATCATTCCGAATCAAATTTTTACAAAAATGCATATTATTAGCTAAAAATCATGCTAAGCACATGTGTAAAGTCAATTTCAGATTATTAAGCATTTAAGGCTTTCAATTACCGATCCAACATTGCAATTGTAACAAATTTTTCTTATAATAGATAGATATAAATCCATAACCATGTAATTCACACAATTGAACTTAATTTCTCATGAAATTTCACATTAACCTGATAAATGCACATACTAAGAGATCGAAAGCATACCAGAAAACATATAGGAGAGTCGGGTTATTACACTCTCCCCACCTTAAATAAGTTTGGTCCCTCAAACTTGTTTTACCTTATGATAAGAACAATTTCGGGTATTGATGTTGCATTTCCTCTTCTTTTTCCCAAGTAGCCTCTGTTCCATAATGTTCTTACCATTCAACTTTTACTATTGGAATCATTCGGTTTCATAGTTGTCTCACTTACCGGTCCAGAATTCAGATTGGTTTTTCCTCATAAGTTAACTTATCATCCAACACAATTTGGTGGTAATCTATGACATGAGACGGATCTGGGAGGTCACCTCGAAGCATCGATACATGAAATACGTTATGTACTTGGCTTATACTTGATGGAAGGGCTACCCGGTAAGCTACCGAACCCACATTCTCCAAGATTTGGAACGGACCAACATATCGGGGTTTTAATTTACCTTTTTTACCGAATCTAGGATGTCCCTTCATTGGAGTGACTTTCACAAAAACATGATTACCTGCATCAAATTCCAAATTCCTTCGTCGATTATCCGCATAACGTTTTTGGCTACTTTGTGCGATTCTTAGTCTTTCCCAAATACTTTTAATCTTTTCAGTCATCAACTGTACAATTTCAGGCCCTAACAAAGATCTATCTCCGACTTCGGCCCAACACACGGGGAAGTGACATGGTCTTCCATATAAGGCTTCATAAGGTGCCATTCCAATGCTTAAATGATAACTATTATTGTATGCAAACTCCACCAATGGCAGATGAGTTCCCCAACTTCCCTGAAAATCCAACACGCACATGCGTAACATATGTTCTAAGGTTTGTATTGCTCTCTATGACTGTCCATCTGTTTGAGGGTGAAAAGTCGTGCTAAACTTTAACTCTGTACCCATTGCCTTCTGCAAACTTTGCCAAAATCTGGACACAAATTTCGGATCCCTGTCTGACACAATAGAAACTGGAACACTATGGAGCCTCACAATTTCATTCATATAAATTTCAGCAAGTATATCTACATTGTACTGAGTTTTCACAGGGAGAAAGTGGGCAGATTTAGTTAACCGGTCTACAATGACCCATATGGCATTCATACCCTGAGGAGTCCTTGGCAAGCCTACAACAAAATCCATTGTCAGATGTTCCCACTTCCACTCTGGGATTGGAAGGGGTTGCAGCAACCCTGCTGGTTTCTGATGCTCTACTTTTACTTGCTGACATTGTAGACATTTTGAGTCGAATTATGCAATTTCCTTTTTCATATTCGGCTACCAAAAATTTTGGTTGAAAGTGGGCAGATTTAGTTAACTGGTCTACAGTGACCCACATGGCATTCATACCCCGAGGAGTCTGTGGCAAGCCTACAAAAAAATCCATTGTCAGATGTTCCCACTTCCACTCCGGGATTGGAAGGGGTTGCAGCAACCTTGCCGGTCTCTGATGCTCTACTTTTACTTGCTGACATTGTAGACATTTTGAGTCGAATTATGCAATTTCCTTTTTCATATTCGGCCACCAGAAATTTTGCTTCAAATCCTTATACATCTTGGTACTTCCGGGATGCATGGAAAATCTCGAGGCATGTGCTTCTTCCATTAAGTCCTTTTTAATTTCTGACACATTGGGAACACATAGTCTGCCTTGAAATTTGAGCACTAAATTTTCAAAATCGAATCCGGGTTTTGGTTTTGTATCTAACTCATCACAAATTTTCTTTACAGATTCATCTTCCATCTGCCGTTGCTTGATTTCTTCAATGAGTGTCGGTTGGGCTGTCACTGCGGCTACCATGGTCTCCTGTTCACACATCACAAGTTCTATATTCATTCTTTCCAATTCAAATGATAATTCCTTTCGCCCCATGAGCAAATTTGCCAAGTCACCCACGCCTTTTTGACTAAGTGCGTTCGCAACTGTGTTGGCTTTACCGGGGTGGTAATGAATCTGCAAATCATAGTCCTTGATAAGTTCCAACCATCGTCGCTGTCGCATGTTCAACTCCTTCTGGGTAAAGAGGTACTTGAGGCTCTTATGGCCGGTGTAGACTTCACAGGTAGTGCCATACAGGTAGTGCCACCATATCTTCAAAGCAGAAACTGTTGCTGCTAGCTCAAGGTCGTGTGTGGGACAATTCTTCTCATGGGGTTTAAGTTGTCGGGAAGCATAGGCGATAACTCTCCCATTTTGCATAAGTACACAACCAAGTCCTTTATAAAAAGCGTCACTGTATATTACAAATCCTTCAGTGCCAAATGGTAAAGCAAGAACAGGTGCTGTAGTTAACTTTACTTTTAATTCCTGAAAAGTAGATTCCCGTGATTCCGACCATTCAAACATAACACCCTTCTGAGTCAATTGGGTAATTTGGGAGAAATCTTTACAAACCTCCGGTAGTACCCGACTAATCCCCAGAAACTACGCACCTCGGTCACATTAGTAGGAGTTGGCCAGTTCACGATTGCTTCAATCTTGTGTGGGTCTATAGAAACACCTTCCTTTGTTATCACATGCCCCAAGAATCCCACCTCATGTAGCCAAAACTCACATTTCTTCAGCTTTACAATTTCTTGTCTCAGGGTGTCTGAAGAATTAACCGGAGATGACCCTTATGAGTTTTTGTATCTTTTGAATAAATGAGGATATTATCGATAAACACCACTACAAACTCATCCAAATAAGGCTTAAAGACACGGTTCATTAAATCCATGAATGTTGCCGGTGCGTTGGTAACTCCAAAAGGCATAACCAAAAATTCATAGTGAGCGTATCGGGTTCGAAAGGCTGTCTTCTCAACATCATCAGCTTTGACCTTTAGTTGGTGATATCCAGACCGTAAATCAATTTTTGAAAAGGCCTGTGCCCCTTGTAACTGATCAAATAAATCATCAATGCGAGGTAACGGGTACTTATTCTTGATTGTTACTTTATTAAGTTCCCTATAGTCCACACATAATCGAAGCGTTCCATCTTTCTTCTTCACAAACAGAACTGGTGCACCCCAAGGGGAAACGCTCGGGCGAATGAACCCTTTATCAAGTAAATCTTGCAACTTAATCTTTAGTTCTTTCATCTCGACTGGTGACATCCTGTACGGGGTTTTAGAAATGGGTTGAGTTCCCGACATCACTTCAATTGTAAACTCAATTTCATGGTCTACTAACTCTCTTAGTAACTCCTCCGGAAAGACATCTGGAAATTCACAGACAACTGGAATCATTTCTGTACCCCCACTTACTGATTGCCCTTTCAGAACGCCGCACAAATACCCCTGACATCCTTTCTGTCACAGTTTACATGCTTTCACTGCGAAAATTAGATAAGGTGGAGAAATCACTCCATACCCCATGAAAGAACATAGGGACTGCCCCGGAGGGTAAAAGTGGATTTGCTTGGCCGTACAATCAATAGTCGCCTGATATTCACTTGACCAATCCATTCCCAGGATAATATCGAAGTGTGCCATGTCAAGAGGTAGCATATTAGCATATACTCGAACATTTGCAGTTAAAAGTTCACAAGCTAAGTAAACAGAAGTACAAACGATCGAATCCCCCAAAGGTGAGGACACACATAACACATAAGGTAATCGTTCCACAGATCTATTTAAATTTCGGGCAAATATTTTTGACACAAAAGAGTGGGTGGAACCAGAATCAAACAACACGTGAGCAGAATGATCGTGAACAATAAATGTACCTGACACCACAGCTGCGACGCTTTGCACATCGCCCAGAACCAAAGCGAACACCCTTCCTTACTTAGCGGTGTCCTTATTGTTGGTAGACTTTGTAGCTGGCTTGGTGTTGGGAGTTGGTGTAGACCCTGCCAAACTTTTAGTAGTTCTATTTCCATTTTGTTGACTCCTTTGAGGACAGTCCTCGACCAGATGACCTGCTTTACCGCACCTAAAACATGCCCCAGTCACCCGATAGCAAATCCCACGATGCTTCTTCCCACAATCTGGACAAACGGGAGCTGAATCTCGAGTAGGGGTGGAAGCACTAGAAGTTCCTGAATTCTGTTTCTTATGTGGTGGAGTGGTTGACCCCTTTGATAATTGAGTATTCTGCCTATTTCCTCTCCAATCGGAAATCTGATTCTGTGCAGCAATATTTCCCTCTGCCATGACAGCTCTCTCTAACACGTCAACATAGGTAGGTCGCTTCAACACATTAATTCGGTCCAGGATAGCATTCTGTAATCCTCCCTCGGGCTTCCTCGCAATCTGTATCTACCATGTGAGGTACAAACCGGGCTGGTTCCGTAAATTGGGCTTCATACTCCACAACTGTCTTGTTCCCTTGTCTAAGAGTCTCAAACTCAGTCACCTTTTTATCTCGCATACACTGCGGAAAATACTTGTCATAGAAGAGTTCCAAAAATCGAGTCCAGGTAAACCCTTGATGTTCAGTTCTTGCAAGCATCCACCACCTACGAGCTTCATCTTCTAGGGTAAAAGCAACCAATATCCATCTGAACTTCAGTACAAGGAAACACCTCAAATAGCTTCTCCACACCCAATACCCATGCTTCAGCTTTCATCAGATCAATTCCCTCTTTAAATGTTGTCGGCTTCATCTTCTTGAATTCCTTTGTAAGATTGATAGTTCGGTCCTCAGCGTGATAATCCTGCACTACATACGGAGGTACCGGTGGCGGTCGCGGTTGTGGTTGTGGCTGCTACTGTTGTTGTTGCTGTAAAGTCTCCGCCATCTCCGTGATCATTCTTTCCATTCTGTCTAACCGTGCGGAGGTAGAATCCTCCGGATCTTCCATCCTTGTTCCCACCATGTTCTACATAACAATCAATTACAATACACACCTCAAACTCAGTCACCTTTTTATCTCGCATACACTGCGGAAAATACTTGTCATAGAAGAGTTCCAAAAATCGAGTCCAGGTAAACCCTTGATGTTCAGTTCTTGCAAGCATCCACCACCTACGAGCTTCATCTTCTAGGGTAAAAGCAACCAATATCCATCTGAACTTCAGTACAAGGAAACACCTCAAATAGCTTCTCCACACCCAATACCCATGCTTCAGCTTTCATCAGATCAATTCCCTCTTTAAATGTTGGCGGCGTCATCTTCTTGAATTCCTTTGTAAGATTGATAGTTCGGTCCTCAACGTGATAATCCTGCACTACATACGGAGGTACCGGTGGCGGTGGCGGTTGTGGTTGTGGTTGTGGCTGCTATTGTTGTTGTTGCCGTAAAGTCTCCGCCATCTCCGCGATCATTCTTTCCATTCTGTCTAACCGTGCAGAGGTAGAATCCTCCGGATCTTCCATCCTTGTTCCCACCATGTTCTACATAACAATCAATTACAATATACACCAGAAATATACAGATAAACATGTATCGTAACCATTTCGAAATACTTGTTAACAGGCATCACATACACATATCACGTTCCTATCGATCATTTCACGTACACTAAAAACATCATGCATGATGCCTAAATCTTTTCTAGACATCCTAAGGCTCAATGGATTCGTGTGTGAGATAGTAACTCGTGCTCTGATACCACTTGTCACGCCCTAAACTCGCCCCTAAAAGTTTGGGCATGACAAATTCGAAAACAGACTCAAAATTAAATAAATATACATTATGGGCCCTGAACGGAAGCAATTATTAATGTAAAACAACATCCATTGAGCTTAAGCCTACATGCTAGGATCATGAAGCATTCATCATATAGTCCAAGGCAAAA